ACCTTTACTGAAAATTCTACAAAAAAAAAAGCACAGAGTGCCCCGACATGTGCAAACTCGTTTCATTAACGATTTAACAAACGGTTAAAACATGCTCACATGAAGTGCAGTGATAAGAGCTTATAGTATGTCCTTAGATATAGTAGGTGTAACCCATATTAAAATAGTCGACACAGAAGACGCCGGTCCGCTAGCTGGCATGCCACCTCACAGACGACACAGACAATTAGCCGGAGGCGGCATGCCAGCTAGCGGATCGGCGTCTTCTGTGTCGACTATTAGATCAGGATATAGGAAGTGTAACCTGCATTCTAAGGACCCACTATAAGCGCTTATCACTGCACTTGTTTTAACTGTTTGTTAAATTGTTAATAAAACGATTGTGCACATGTCGGGGCACTCTGTGCGTTTTGTTATAATATTTTATACATTTGGATATATATTTATGTACCAAAGGACAAGTATGTGTGCTGTATGTGACAAATAAGATTTCCGTAGATAAAAAGCAGCAGTATTTCTGGTTTTGAGCTTTGCTAGCAATACCTGAGGGGGTAGAGGGGAGAAATGAGGGCCTCGGGTAGTTGGATTTGCTTTCATTACACAGGGAGAATCTTCAGATTGCAAGAAAATCTCTCTGAGCGCAGGTCCCCATAATTCACTAATCTATGGAAAAAACAGGTCTTCCTGGTGGGACTGCAGTTACTTTTCATATCGTACAGTACCATGTGGGTGGGCAGTGCTGCAATCGGTGAACAAGTTTTAGCAGGCTGAGCTTTTGGCTTAAAACCAGAAAAAATGAATACCAGCAACTTGAAGGATTAAAGAAGGCAACCCAGTAAAGAAGGGTATCAGTGTAAATGCAAAATTCAAATTTTTTGACCAGAATGTACTTTAAAACCTGGCTTGATTTTTTTGTTTTCCCTCTTTGCAGCCTCCTTCAGAAAGAGGCACTGTAACATACACAAGGGGATGTATGGCTGCCCTGGAGGCCTGGCTACCAAGGAACATCTATATTGTGGCTGGAGCATTCTTGGTGATTTCTATTCTCCAGGTAAGCTAGGATTATACTTAATTGTGTGGCATTTGTTCCTGTACTTTTTTTTCTAGTTACATGGCTGTGTCTACCCATTGAATGCCATCATGTACCTAAAAAAAAAAAAGTAGATATGTTTCATACATTTTATTTAACCCACGCAATAGGTTGGACTTATGTCTTTATTCAACCTCAAATACTATGTAACTATGTAACCCTGACCTGTTTATGAAGCCACTGCAAAGGACAGAGAAAAGGACATGATGATTAGTGGGCAGGTCCTGATGATGTGGCCTCTGTGAGCTCTCACCACAGTGTCTTCAACCCAACCACTGACCACATGTGGAGGTTTTTTGAGGAAGCTGTTGGATCCAAGTACAGTTTTGCTTTGGTTTTATTATCATTATTATCATATGAATGCTGAGATAATATGATAACGCTGGGGTCTTTTCCTAAATTTTAGTTGGGTATGTAATTGTTATATCTGTTCTGACTACATTTTTCATATCTATTTCAGATGGTAATAGGTCAGGGTTTAACAGGGTAAGGGATTTAGAATGTAATAGCCCTTGCAACCAATACAACTAATACTATGTAACCAGTTTGGTGTGATCCTGCCACAAACAATCTTTAGCACCTATAAATAGTCTGCACAGTAATGGCTGCCATAACCTGCAGACAGTAAAATAGCGGGAAGGGCCAGATGGCAAAAACATGAAGAAGAGAAGTAATACACACAATTCATAGAACAGTTCATATGTTACAGGTGCAAAGAATGAAAAGTTAGTGATATTCAAATTTAAAGTTCACCTTTCTCATAAAAAAAACCATGTTGTCACACCTGAACACTTCAGCAAATGTACCTGGCCAAAAATGGATGTATTGCATCCAGGTATTTGGGAGCAGGTCCATGCTGCATCTAAGGCAGGGGTAGCAAGCCTCCGGCCCTCCAGCTGTGGTGAAACTACAAATCCCATGATGCATCTCTTCGGGAGTCATGTCTGTGGCTGTGAGAATCTTGCAATGCCTCATGGGATTTGTAGTTCCACCACAGCTGAAGGGCCGGAGGTTTGCTACCCCTGATCTAAGGGCTCTATGGAAGTATACTAGGTGGTGGGAGGGTATGGTTTTGTGAAAAAAGTGACATTGTCCTTCTAAGAACTTAAGACAGAGCGTTCAACTCAGCTGGTGGACAATCAGAAGCAAAAAGTAAATCTGTTCAGATTAACTGATAGTTATTAGTAGAGCAGCAGGGAATGACGGGTGTTGATGTTGAACCTCTATACAACAAATGCTGGAGCTCAAATTTAAAGCAAACCTATCTCTCACTCTGACCTAACAAACTGTCCTCCAAGATCAACCTGCAGCAATGGGTTTGAGAAATTCAAGGCACTGGTTGGAAATTGGTGTTGCCTGGTCTGCCATTTAGAGGTTAATTACTGGACCAGGGTAAGCGACATGTTTGCTTTAAAACAAAGAAATGTGAAATGGAGATAACAATATATATTGATTGATGGTTTTTTTGTTGGTTTACTATTTTTCTTAGCTGTTTATCTACTTTAAAGCTGAAAGGCAGATATAAAATCTCCGCTCAATCCATTTATTTTTGAAATTGTTAAAAGCTTCTTTTTTTTTTATTGATGCAAAAATATCTGAACCTGTCCTTACATGAACTATCCAAAGCAGCAGAATGAGAGTTGTGGCCAGTGAGTCTTGTTTGTTCTGCACAGTGCTGTCTGCAAACAGTTGTAGCAGCGGAAAGCAGAACTATTACCTCATCAATGTGCTACTGCTCCTTCACTGGCCAGTCACAGACTAGAGTGCATTGTAGACCAGACTGTATTGCTAAACTGCCGCATATGCCCAAGACCCGGCTGTGCTGTCTGGTAGACGTTCCTGAATCTGAAGACACTGGGGGTTACAGATCATTTGGATGCTAAAATATTGTGTGCATTTCAACTGTGTAGCTGTTTGAAGTTCAACTGTAATGCACCCCTGCGGAAACCCCTTACTGCTCTTCTTCACATCTATTTATCTTATGGCCAGCCATGGGCTTTTGCTTGCTTCACAACTACTTATTTTCTCATACAAGCCTATTGAAATGCAAAAGCAACATGAAGCAGGTCAAATGGACCTGCAGTTAATTCTGAACGTTCTCAGAAGCATCTCAAACGGATGTCTAAAGTACACTGCATTTGGTGATCAAAGCCGGTCGACACTAGCCACTTACTATGCCATTTGGGTTTGTTAGCATTATTAAAGATTAACATTTCTTTTTTTCTTCCTCAAAAGATATTTGGCATTTATCTTGCCCGAACATTGATGTCTGATATTGATGCTGTGAAGGCTGGATACAGATTTTAAGGACGTGTCCAGAAGACTGGAAATCTTCAGAGCATCCCTCTTTGTCTCCTACACTTATAGGACTATGACTATTATCCACTGGAGATTCTGAGCCAACGGCCCCTTAGTATCCTGTGATGTATAAACTGGAGCTAGGATACTTGGCCTCTGAGACTTTCCCTGTAGAGAACAACTGTGGTGCTTAGAAGGATTATCTTTACCCTCTTTCATCACTGCAGTGTTCCAAGTCATCCTTCTTTACAGAGGAAAATTGGTTCAACAAATATACTTGTATTCATCAGTAACCCTTATGTGTGAGGAGACATTCATTATGGACTGAACTCTCTTGGGTCTTGACTGTCATTACTGTTGCTGGACAAAACCACTGATATATTTGGGGAAATCTCCAAAATGTACATGACCTTGTAAACATTTCTTGTGATTGTCACTGTAACAGTGACATGTCTCCATGTTAGAGGACCACAATATGGTTTCAAAGAGTTTTTTTCTTTTTTGCCTCCAACATGAATAGTGTCATTTAGAGATGAGTAAACCAATTTGCAAATGTATTTTTATCCTTAAATTGCAAGTCTTTTTAATTCACCTAAGGTCTCATTCACACATCCAATTAGGTCTGGACAGCAGATTCCTCCCACGCGAATCAGCAGATTCTTGCGGTTGGAATCACAAGAGGTTGCCGGCAACTGTGGCTGCTTGGTCTGTACAAAGCAATGACAGCTGCCGAAACTGTCCGCTGCTGTTCCCATGTATTCGCACAATTATTACCTATGCCTAGGGACAGATTATTGGCTCTTGGTGCAATCTGTCTGTGTCCAGGGCCAGTCATCTATCCCTAACCACAGGTAACTGGATATGCAGATACATTCGGACAGCTGCGGGGCCTGTCAACCTGTTACTGCTTTGTACAGACTTTGCAGTCACAGCTCTCAGCAAAAATCTGCTGTCTGCATCTTACAGGACATGTGAATGAGGCTTAAACATGCCAGATTTGTTTTATCTGCAGAGAATCGGCAAGTTAAAGCCATGCATGGAGCAAGGAAGGGTTAGGGAACATGTCTCTTATTGTTGTGTCACCAGGAAAGGATTGGAAATCTCTCAAATGGGGACATAGACATCAATTCTATCCTGACAGATACTAAACATTCCTTTTTGTCTACTTGTTTTTATTGCTGCCATTGTCCCCATAGAGGGGGATTTCACCTCACTTGCACTTGTGTCTAACACCTATTAAATGCACAGGAATTAAGGTAAGATTTCTCAACTGGGTATGCGGACAAAATGTCACAGAATTTTAAACCCTTCCTCACTCAGCTGAAAAAAAGTTTTGACTGGAGTTAGACATTAATGAATCCAGGCAATTAGATTTCAGGCTTTGCACGATTTGCATGGACAGCTCAGTGCACTTACCCAGATTAGAAAATAATTTTACATTTGCTCAAAAATATGCTTGTTGAATTTGCATATTGATTTAAGTCTTGTCGTTTTCAACTTGGTCTGTTTATTTCAAGCATTAATATTTTTTTTTACCTGCATCCTGCCATGTCTTAGTTTGTTTAAAGTGTCCTGATATAGTAGTGATAATACATGTACTGGTGCACAGGAATATGTCTCATTGAGCATATATTAATCAATTCATTTCAATCCACGGACTGTAACATTCTGAGTATTACATTTTGGTTTCTATGCTTTGATTGTTTTCAGTTGTGGACCAGCTTTCATAAATCTACTCCTTTTGTATGCATTAAAAGACCCTGCTACTGTTACAATGTAGCATTGCAAGGTTATATTAAACATAGTTCTCCTTTTATTTAGAGGTACTGTTGCGTTTTTGACTTTATTAAAGACCAAATTAACTTTAATACAAATGTACTCAGATACATTGAGGCTGACAAAAAAGATATTCCCGTATTACTGTTATATTAGAGCTCTAATTCCAGTACAAATTCACAGACTGCATAGAAGGGTTGCTGTTCTCTGTGTGGTTACAGCTGTCTCTCTGCAAAGTCTTGCATGATCCACGTAATTTAGCAAAGATCGCACTTTCTGCTGATTGCTCTGGCAAAACAGGGGTCATGGAGGAGCATTGTAGAGTGGCCGCTGCATTCACACAGAGCGTATGTGCAGTCTGACAAAATAGAGACGAAAGGGAAGGTTTGTGTTGAAGCCACAGTTGTAGTAAGACAAAGATGATGAGCATCATATGCCCCCTGTAGCTGGAAGGTTACTAAAAAGGTGCTGATGACCAAAACAATGGAGTGCAGACACCAACTGCCTGATTTTTACCCTTTCAAGCAGCCATCTCTGAGTCTGTGAGTAGGGGCTGACAGACCAGCTGGTGGTTCTCAGAGGAATGGGTATTTGGAGTCTGTGGGTAGAGGCAGACAAGCCAGCTGATGGTTCTTGGAGGAATAGGCATCTTTGGGTCTGCGGGTAGAGGCAGACACACCCAGCCAATGGTTCTGAGATGAATGGGCAGTCTTTCAGGCTGATTTCCACTTACCACTATGGCTTCTCCCAAGTCTGGTACTGGGGATGCTTTTGTGCTCTCCCACCTTTCTCTTCCGTTAATGTTAACATCTACAGTATACAAAAGCAACCCAAGCATGCATTTTAGGAAAACGTCCTTGCTTATTGAAGTGTTGGTACTACAGCCAATAACCTCCTAAATACTTTCCTGAGTTCTTTTTTTTATCAACACCCTTATTTTATAAGCTAAAGTGGTCATCTGACACTTCAAGACTAGGTAGTTGTCACTGCATTGCCAACTTGATGTTAAGTAACAGACTTGTAATCATATACACACAGACTTGGGGCCCGGCAACATTTTACTAGACCTCAATTCTGAACTAATGACCACTTTATGGCATGGAAAAGCAAAACGGCAAGGCAATCATCAATTCTTTTATTCAAGCTAAATATGTATCTCTCACAACTTCTCTGTCAAAGATTATACTGTTCATGAGTGTTTAAAGGAGAACTATGGGGTAACCTTTTTTGCCCATAGTTCTCTTCAGGGTCACAGGAGGACATATACTAATGTTCTCCTGTCACCCAAAACTCTGCATATAGCGGGCTATTGCCTGCTACTGTATATGCTGACAGTGTAGAGCCGTGCCGCAGCCAGGACAGATCCCGACAATATTGTTGAGATCCACCGCGCTGACAGATTGACAGCTGGCTCTGCCTCTCTAGAGGCAGAGGCAGCTTTGCCTGCCCCCTCTCCCATCCATTCCTCCAGTCAGCGCTGGAGCAATGGAGAGGGGAGCAGGGAATCCCTGCGGGGAGCACTGACAGTCACCACTCTTTGCAGCGTGAGGATCGGGAATCAGTGATAGGCGGTATGTGTTGGCTGACTTCCCGATCAATAGAGCTGACCTGTGACACCTTCAGTGTCACAGGTTGGCTTGAATTATGGGGATGAGTGTATTTCATTCACCCCATCATTCTCCTCTAAATTGTAATCCAGGCTGATCTCAGAAGAGCTGGCTGACTGCCAACTAGTAATGGCAGAAAGAACCTGTGAGAGAGTAGGATCCGGATGTAAATGGAAGCCCGTCCGTTTAGATCCAGCTGCCCATAGACTAACTTTGGGCTTCCGATCAGATCCGCCTGAAAAACCAACAGGCGGACCTGATCGGAAAGCCGATGTGAAAGCCTTCCTGTGCAAAAAGGTTGGAAAAATCTGATTAAAATGTAACCATTATTCTTAACTAAATTGTATTTGTTTTTTCTTTGGGATTGCATGCAGTGCTGCATTTTATGTTGTATTAAAACAAGGCACAACAGTGTCATCTTGTGGTTGTTTTAGATATTGCAGATTAATGAAAAGAATACTGAACGTTGTTATTGTCTTCATGTTATTTTTGCATAGTATGTTTTTTATGCATAAAATATGTTTACAGTGTTTTCCTATGTTTCTTGTTATCCCACTCTGTATGAGTGCTAGGGATTGTTGAAACGTAAGAATGTATCATAGTTATTTTTACTATAGTTTGTTGCATTTCTCTCAATTGCGAAGGTGGTATTATCGTTTTAAAAATGTTTAAAAAAAAATAATTTTGATTTGTTTGTGGGCACCTGTTGAACAAGTACCCAGGCTTCTGTGTAATTGTAAAACCGTAATTCATTGTGTTTAATCTGCATTGGTAATATAACTGCAATGATTCTGTTACCCATCCTGTAATCTAATATATAATACTTAAAATGCTTTCCCCTGAAGCTATCAGCTGCCCTGAATTCCATGACAATTAAGAACAAAGCAGACTACCTGGTATTGTAATACTGGCAGTCAAGGATGTGGGCCTGGTCAGCTGGCACCTGAGGTACTGTGCATATCGATGGTGTGTCTATATTAAAATGCTAAGTACTTCTGGTACTGCAGACTTAAACTCAGCTTGGTTTACAACCCACTTAGCCCCTATTGTTATTGTAACCCTACCTGGAAGGCTCACAGTGCGATTTGCACGTGAACCACAATCCTTTTGGCCTATGCAGGTACACAGCCAAATACTGCATGGCATTTCAGAACTGTGCCATGCAATACCAATGTCGTCTGCATCCTATACTACTACAAAGTTGCCTTATTACCTTAAGATCATTTTCCCATATTGTTACATTCAGTAAGCAAAATAAAACCATTCTCCCATCTCACTTGAAAGCTACTGGCAAGATGGTGCTCATCATGTTCCTTCTATGGGCATTTTCTGCCACTTGGTTAAAATTAATTTATGGATGAGCACTGTCTTCATTTATCTGGGTTTTTAATAACAGAGTGCAATGAGCAGCGATGATGTGCAAAGTGCAGTAATTCATAGCAGCCTAATTTCACCTTTCATCATTTAGACTGTGAGAATAGTGAAAAGCTGATTGAAAAGCTCTTTCAGGATTAGTGCCCTTTGCAGATCGCTTTATTATAAAGCCCATACATATATGTTATGTGACACAGTTACAAGATGGCATGTGTTAAAAAAATTGTCTTATAGCAAAATTATAATTATTTTTAATAAACTGTTTTTTGAACAGATTTTGTGTTAATTGTGTTAAATGTGTGTTAAATATGCATTTACTTACCCAGTGTAGTGTGTAAATGATCATTTTTCCTGGAGATTGGCTTTAAGTCATGTTAAAAAAAAATAATTGGTAAGTGGTTATCACTTGACATAATCCATTTTTTTTTACAATACATTGGTAAGTATCAACACTTAATTTACCACTGTCCTCTGTGCAGGACAAACATTGGAGCGATCAGCTGATCACTCCAGTGTTAGTACTATGTGTCCCCAGTTTTTTTACAATGTGTCCCCAGTTGTAAATGAACAGTAAGTGCTTTACATCACTTCCTGTTCATTCATGAGTTTCTCAATGGGGAGTAGCACTCTGTACAGAGGCTCCTCCCCATTCAGAAACTTGATGATCGTAAATATTTTCTGAATGAATGGGAAGCCTCTGTGCTTTCCATTCATTTAGAACATAGACTGCAGAAAAAGAGATTGAGGACTTTGTGTCCTAAATTCCTAAATGTATTTTTCTATTTTAAAAGGGAAATATCAGGGGGCTGTTCAGGCCCCTAATATTTCCCCAAAGCCCCCCCTCAACAGTAAAAAACTAAAATAAAAAAAATCTATTTAAATTTGCCTTGGGCGCAAAAGAAGCTTGCTACGAC